CATATTTGATGACTCACAGATGCTCTTTATTTGCAGTATTGTCAAAGAAAAGGGGATCTTAGTGCTGCATAGTGTTTTTAGGTTTGATGCATATCATGAAATTACCCTCCAGAAAGGCCAAAAAAGTCCATTCAGTTTTTCAAATAAAACAACCAGTGTCTATGCCACACGCACTTGTGCCCTCTGGGTTCAGTCGCTTCCTAATCTCTTGACAGCAGAGGAAACCCAACCCTGTTTCCTTTGGGACAATATACATACAGACCCACTCCTGTCTTGTCTTTTTTTTTTGAGGAAGATTAGCCCTGAGTTAACATCTACTGCCAATCCTCTTCTTTTTGCTGAGAAAGCCTGGCTCTGAGCTAACATCCATGTCCATCTTCCTCTACTTTATATGTGGGACGCCTACCACAGCGTGGCTTGCCAAGCAGTGCCATGTCTGCACCCGGGATCCCAACTGGCGAACCTCGGGCTGCCAGAGCAGAACGTGCGCACTTAACCGCTGCGCCACCGGGCTGGCCCCCACTCCTGTCTTTTGCAGGGCCTGGGACCAGAGTGCAAGAAGAGATATTGGGCCTGAGCCAATACTAGGGTGAGGCGAGCGAGGCAACATTCGTTAAAAAGACGCGATCAGCAACAGTGGCATGCAGAGCCGTGCTGGAGCCTCAGGCCAAAGGAAAAATCAATAACACTGATCCTGTCCTTATTAAAATTTTTGATATTTTGTTTGTTATGGATTTTTTGCATTAATTTTCACTTTTTAACATATTGCATTAAATATTTATGTTGATTGCTGAGTTTTTGGTGCCCCTTAAATTTTGCACCTATGGCAGTGTCTCCTCACTCGCCTTGCCCTAGTCTCTGTCCCAGCTTGGGCCTGGGGGTGGGCATACAGCGGGGACCATCAGGACCACCCTAGCTACAGACTGGGGAAGAAGCCTGCGCAGGCTGGGGCTGTCAGGCCAGAGAATTCCCGGGTCTAGGCCGTGTGAAGTTGGGGTGCAGGGCACAGGTGGGTGCATGCCCTTAGACCCAGGTTTCCGGGCCCATGAAGAGGAGAGTGTTGGAGGAGGGCCCAAGTGGAACTTTCTGGAGAGTACTTCTCAGCCTCAGAATCTCCTGGAGGGCTTGTGAAGGTGTAGGTGGCTCAGATTCTGATTCAGTAGATCTGGGGTGGGGCCCAGAGTCTTCATTGCTAACCAGTTCCTGGGTGCTGCTGCTGCTGGGCCACGGTGCACATGGGGAGGCTCCCTGCTCTGAAGCTCGGGGTCCAGGGTAGGGGCCCGCTTGCCTGGGTCTAAGGAGCTGCTTGTGAGCCCTTGACGTGTTTCTGTGTGTGGGAATGCAAAGGGGCTCAGCGTCTTTACCAGACTTAGTTTTAGACTTTTTTATCTAGCAGCATATCCACAGTGTACCCTTTAAGAGAAAGATTGCGTGCATCTCGGCTTCCCTGGTCAGTCGTCTGTTTGTCACTGTTGTGAATGGAGATTTCTCTAGGTTGCTGGACACTTGGTCTAGGGAGTCATTGCTATAGGTTTTTTTTCCCCTGTAAATCTCCTGCATGGTGTATGGAAATGAGAGCTACAGTATCTGATGTTAAATAATATTCCTAAGTACCCCTAGATTTTGTTTTTGTGTTTTAAAAGAACACATTATTGGGGCCAGCCCTGTGGCATGGTTGTTAAGTTTGTGTGCTCTGCTTTGGCTTTGTGGGTTTGGATCCCAGGACCTTCACCACTCATCAAGCCATGCTGTGGTGGTGTCTCACATACAAAATAAAGGAAGGTGGGCACAGATGTTAGTTCAGGGCAAATCTTCCTCAAGCAAAAAAAAAAAAAGAGGAAGATTGGTAACAGATATTATCTCAGGGTGAATCTTCCTCAACAACAAAAAAATAAAAAAGAATTTAAAAAACCACATTGTTTTAAAAAATACATAAAAACTTGTAAATAATATTGTTTTTACATATAAAGAAGACAATTAAAATGTCTCATAAACCCTCTCCCCAAATGGTCCCTGTTGATGTTGTGCTAGAAGTACGTAATAAAGTAAAAACCACCTTCCCATCCTCCCCTCTCTACTACAGTCTCTCTTTCCAATATTGATGTTTTTTGTGATTCCTTCCAGAAAAAAATTATTCTTGTCTATCCTTTTTTTCAATACAAGAGCATCATATGATAGACACTGTTAGACACCTTACGTCTTAACTTAGTAATGTATCTTGGACATGTTTCCATCAGCACATGACAGATTTACCTTAATCTCCTTAAACGTTCATAGGATTCATCATTGTTTAACTGGCACACCAGTGAAGAACTCTTTGGTTCCAGGTTGTTGCTGTATGAACAGCCCAGTAGTGAATGTCTTTCTTTGTCCATACATCTTGAAAAACTTTTATGAACCCAGCCATAGGCGTAATACCAGCAGCGGAGTTGCTGGACAAAGGGCGCAGACACTTTTCAGTTTGGAGGCAGTCACCACATTGCCCTCCAGAAAGGTCACCCCATCAACTGTGATGAGCGTTGTCTGTTTCCCCAATCTTCTTGCCCGTGATTGATATCATAGAAGTAAAAAGAAAAAATAATTGTACTATTCCAATAGCAGTACATTATAAAGTAACTAGGAATAAACTTAGTAAGTGTGCAGTATTTACGTGAAGAAAACTTTAATATGCATCTGAAGGACTGAAAAGACTTGAATAAACGAAAGTTGTGCTGTGTTCTTGTGTGGGAACTTGTAGCATGATGAAAATATCCATTCTCCCTCAGTAAAGCTATAAATTTGAACATGATCCAATAAAAATATTAACACCATTTTTTTGTGGAGGGGGAATTTGATGAGCTGATTTTAAAGATCCTTTGGAAAAACAAATAAGTAAGAATAGACAGGAAGATTCAGAAAATAAACAGGAAGCTAGGAAGATTCAGGAAATAGCCAGAGCAGATATTAAAATATAATATGAAACTAACATTGCTAAAATGTATTAATGGATTACAGTCATAAACTTAAATATATTCAGGAATATAATATATGATAAAGGTGGTAACTCAAATCAATGAGGAAAATGGATAAAAAATGGGAAAATGTTTAATTCATGTTGCATAAATTCCAAATGCATCAAAGATTTACATGTAAAAAATGAAATATGCACTACAAGAAATCACAGGAGAATTGTTTTATAATCCCAGATCTCTCTGCTGTGACATAAAACTCAGAAGCTGTTGAAGACAAGATTGATAAATTCACCTTTACAAAAAAAATTCTCCATAGCGAAAGGCACCTTTCACCAAGTCAAAAGACAATAAATTGTGGGAAGATATTTGCCACCGGCATCACAAATAAGAACCAATAAGAAAAAAGGACCAATAACCCAAAAGAAAACTAGGCAGCGACTATGAACAGTTAACAGAAAAGGCAACACTGATAGCATTTAAACATAAAATGTTTAATAAGAAAAAATTAAAATTACATAATAAGAGAAATACAAATTACCACCTCACAGGGGTCATTTTTTCACTATGAGATTAGCCGGGGCGTGAGAAGGGAAATGCCTTTGTACAGCGCTGATGGGAGGTAAAGCTGTATCTACTTTATGGAGGAATCTGGCAATATCTGAAAAAACTACAATGCATTTATCTTTAGCCCAGCAATTCCACACCTAGGAATTTATTCTTTTAGAGGTACTATATATACATGCACCCATGTGAAATCATGTAGGAGCAATGTTTTTCACTGCAGCATTACTTATAAAAGCAAAAGTTTGAATAATCTGTGGTCCATCACACAATGGAAACTGCATCTGTAAAAAGAGTGAGGAAGAGCCCTGTGTACTGCCATTGAAGGTCTCTAAGACAAGTACACTGTTAGTTGATAAAAAGCCAGGTGCGTGATGTTATGCTACCATTTGAGTAAAAGGGGAGCGAGATCTATAGAGTTATTTAATTGTGCATGAATTCAGCGATTGTTGACATGTATACAAAAAATGAATAATATTGATTGCGTCAAGGGAAAAGCCTGGGAGGCAGGGACAGACCTGGGACGTAGGCCTTTGGCTCTGTATACGCTTGTACCTTTCGAATTTTGAATCTTGTCTGCCTTTCTTAAAAAAATTTTTTTTTAAAGGTTGGCACCTGAGCTAACATCTATTGCCAATCTTTTTTTTCTTCTTCTTCTCCCCAAGGCCCCCCAGTACGTAGCTGTATATTCTAGTTGTAGGTCCTTCTGGTTGTGCAGTGTGGGACACTGCCTCAGTGTGGCTTGATCAACTTAGCGGAGCCGTTCTAGGACCATGCCCAGGATCCAAACCAGTGAAACCTGGGGCCGCCGAATGCAGTGTGGGAACTTAACCACTCGGCCATGGGGCTGGCCCCTAAAATTTTTTAAATGCAAATTTTAAAATAATTCAGTAGGTAAAGAATATTTATTTGTTTTGATATGCATAGTTCTAATGTTGAGTTAATTTGAGTGTCTTTTCAAATATTATGTTTTTAGGCAATTGACTGTTCATATACTTTGTCCATTTTTCTTTTTTTTTTTGGAGTGGTTTCTTTACAAATCAAGGAAATGACCCCTTTGTCTTAAGTGTCGCAGAAATTTTGTTCTGGTTTATCTTTTGGTTGTTGGTGCTGCTTTTTGCCACCTGGCGATTTTATATTTGCCCACAGTCCTTGTCTCCCCCTCCAGCCCCCCCACCCCTGCTTCTTCTGCTGCTTTTCTTTCTTTTTAATTTTTTTTGAGGGGGGTGGAAATGACTTTTTCAATGTGATCTCTGAGCAGATTGACTCAGTATTTAAAATATCCAATTATCAGTGCCTTTGGATGAGTTGCAAAATATCTGGGTGCTTGTAAGTTCTCTTTGAGGACAGTAGTTAAGACGGAACGAACTCATTTTTAGTGAGAGGTGACCTAGAGATTTGTCTCAAGGGCAAGGGGAGAGGGACTCAGATGGGTGGGGCAGGCAGTGTCCGTGGGTCTCTGATGAGCTCTCCTCTCCCCACCCCCAGCGGAGCTCCCGCGCTCCTCGGCGGTGAGGCTGGCCTCCCTGCGCGACCTGCCCGCCCAGCTCCTGGAGCTGTACCAGCAGGGCTTTTCGCTGGTGGCTCTGCATCCTTTTGTGCAGCCGATCCATGAACAGGAGAAGACACCCCTCGAGCACATCTTCAGGGCCATTCTGATCAAGAAAACCGACAGGTAAGGCCTTTGCGGGTAGATGGTTAGGATCGCGAGGTGGCTAACCTGTGTTGAATGGAAGAGGGGAATTAAGAGGATTAGGGGTGGGCTGGAGTGTGTGTTTGAAATTTGCATTGATGTTCCCAGGCCTCTGCCCTCTGACACGTAAGGCAGTACGTTAGGCAACCAGAGAGAAGTTTCTTAGCATCCTGTGGCTGTCCACACCCAACTGCGTAAGCAGAGAGTTCCATTTCACATCCTTTCCCTTCCTTCATTTATTGGATTACACACATCATTGATGGTGGGAAGCAGAGTCGTTATAAAATACAATTTTAAAGGACAGGCATTTTCTCTCCTAGCAAAGATTACACTTTAATTTATTGGATTACATTCCTTTAATTTATTGGATTACACGTGGAGAAGAATCTCTCCTCTGAAGAGGTATCTCCCACAGTGATACAACTAGAGCAAGTAGAATACTATTAATCCGAAAAGCATGGACAGAAAACTCACTAATTTTTTTTAGACTATTTACAAACTTAATGCCTTCCCCCAAACTCTAGAAATAGTTGAACATTCTGAACCCACTGTAAATTCTGTCAGTCGTGTGGAAGGAAAAACAAAATCCACTTGAGTCAAGTGCTGTAATTGATTTAGTCTTGATTTTGATTTTCAAGGCTTTGAGGATGTTTTTTTAAGTATGCCTTGCCCAACTGAATGCTTACTTTTATATATATATATATATATATATATATATATACACACACACACACACACACACACACATATATATGTAGTCGTTTTTTTGTTTTTGTTTTTGTTTTTGCTGAGGAAGAGTCACCCTGAACTAGCATCCATTGGCAATCTTCCTCTTTTTTTGTATGGGAACTGTGCCACAGCATGGCCACTGAGACACGAGTAGTGTAGGTCCATGCCTGGGAATTGAACCCAGGCCACCAAAATGGAGCACACCAAACTTAACCACTAGGCCATCAGGGCTGCTCCTTACTCATATTTTTATTGGGTCTAATTGGGAAAAGAGAGGTGGAGATTGGTTTCTCAAAAGGAGCAACATTAATTTTAAATGATTTCTTTAAAACAATGAAGGTGGAATAGAAAGCACCATATGTTTTTGCTGCTTTCGTAAAAATGAAAATTGAAGTAAGTCTGGCAAAGGAAATCAGATCTATCCTTTGGCCAACTATCATGGGAGGAATGACAACATACACCATGTTTTGAAAGGAGGGAGAGTACAGAGTGACTGCCTCTCTTTCTTTCTAAAAGTCGTTTTGCTGGGCGGACAAGGGTTCGGCTAGTGAGCTCACGAGCGACGGCTGTGAGGCGGGAGGCTGCGTGACTGAGATGGGCTCGTCTTTCCTGACAAGCAGAGTTCTTCATTTCTTCGTGGCTGATCAAGCTATGGGGCCCTTAGTCCCAGTCAACGTGCTCTAGAGTTCGCAGGAAAGATGGTATATACCTGTGCTAATGTCCAGGATTACCATGGTTTTTGTAAAGTGAAATTTTCTTGATATCTGCCTTTTTTGCATATTGGTTTCTTTAGCCAGTTGGCTGAGGATCAAGATCTGGTCAATCACAAGAGGAAATTGTTCTGGGAGCCACAGTGGTTTTAGGTTCCACTGACACATGGGACATGCATCATGACTGTAGCTCACCTTGATTGAGTGCTCACTGTGTGCTGGTCTTTATAAGTATCATTTCATCCACATAATCAGCCTGTGAAATAGCTACTATTTTTGTTCCTCTTTTAAAGGTGAGGAAACTGAGGCCCAGACATTGAATGATTTGTCAAGGTCTCACAGATGGCAAGTAGAGCTCTGACTTGTTCCCAGGCAGGCTGACTCCCATAGCTGTGTCTTACCCCTGAGGTGAAGCAGGCACTGTGCTCCTGCACCCGTGACGTTTGTGAACAAGCCCTTTATGAAAAAAAGTGGGGAGCGTGTCTTTGACTTTTAGATGGCGTAGTAGTCATTATTTCACCTTTCCTCCGTTTTACCGCTCAACAGTCTTCAAATAAATCTGAACTTCAGAAAGGAAACAAAATAAAACCGACTTACCGTGTGCCTTCCAGGTTACACAAGGCATTACTGGGCTCCCGTGTTTCTCTACTTAGATGCGTGCATTGGTCTTGATGTTTAGAGGGGAGAAGTCCACTTTGGTGAAGTCACAGGTGTATCCCTCGGTGTGATTCTGTTATAGGTGATGTCAGCACGGGACTTGCCATGAAGTCAGCACATGTTAAATGAACTTGACTCTAAATGTGAAGATGTCTTTTTTTTCCTGCTATGGAGCAGCACTTCTCAAACTTTGACGTGCCTGCTGTGAATCCCCTGGGGCTGTCGTTCAAGTGCAGTCTGATTCAGCAGGTCCGGCGTGGGGCCTGGGACTTTGCATTTCCAACATGTTCCCAGATGATGCCAAGGCTGCTGGTCCATAGACCACACTTAGAATAGCAAGTGAGTAGAGGACCTGGCTAATTCCTGTCTGGCTTCGTGCCTCACACTCACCAACACTCCTGGGGATGGCCATTTCACTCTTGGGGACAGTCTGAGTACTGGGATAGGTGAGAAAGAACATAGGGTTCCTGGTTGGAGGGCCTGTGTTCTAGGCTGCACTTGGCTATGAATAAGTGGTGTAGTTTGGAGGGCATATCAGTACATTTTTCTGGTACTAAATGATTTGCAAGGCCTGAATCAACTCTGCAGTATCTGATTGGATGAGGTGGGTGAGAAAGCTCCTCTTCAGGAATAAGAAGCCCCACTTTTGGGAATATCCATTACAAGCCAGCAGTGGAGCTGGTGTTCAATAGGAGTTCTTTCCTTCCACTGAGGACAGGCCCTGAGCGAATGAGCTTACTTTCCAGAAGAGGAAAATGGGTCAAGCTATTAAGAAGAATGAGACAGAGGTGTGCAGAAGGGTTTTCAAGAAAGAGAAGACGGCATTCTCCTTGGGTTTGAGTTCACTCTAGGCCAGAGTGCCTGGACCAACTGCCTGGGTGACTTTAAGGAGCATACCAGCTCCTTAATAAGCAGGTACAGAGAAAGAAATTCCTTTGATAATTTTGTGCTGGGTCTTTGCAACTGCCCCCCATCCCAGTGTTTTCTTTAAAGGAAGTTTCAAAAACTTGGTAATTTACCAGGGATAGTAATGAGAATGGTAATTTGTCATTCTCATGGCAAAAATGACCAAGAGTATTTCCCCTACTTGCATTCCCCATTAGTATTGGGTATAGTAGGAAGCAGAGTCAGTCATTATACAATATAATTTTAAAGAACAGCATTTTCTCTCCTACCAAATGCACTAACCGTGTGTTTTTGCATCATGAGGAAAAGACCCCACACTATGAGAAACAAGCAAAACAACAGAACTTTTTCTGTATCAGTAGGGAGTTCAAGTAGTAGAATCGAAACAAAGGAAATCTCATGTGGTTAACTTTTAATATGGACAGTTAAAATGACATTTTTCACAAAGTCTGCCAAAGTTCTGACAGCTACAGATGCTGTTAAATGATTTAGCTCTCAAAGAGGAAGTAAATGCCTGGTTAATATTTTCTAAGTAGCCCACATTGAAAGGGCCGTGGATAAACTTTTTAGATTACTATCGATCCAAATCAGGTTCATTAGCAAGAATCATCATAGGATGAGGACTTGAAACTTGAATATCAACCTTAATGTGTTTGAAAGTGAACATAAAGTTTTTAGCAAGTAACTGGCCTTTGCGTTCTGCAGCAAGACCAGGAAAAAGAGCAGAACCATACAAGCTTGCATTCATTCACTCACTCATTCCTTCATCTGCAAACACTTACTGAGCTTCAACTCGTTATAAGATATTGTGCTAGGAGCTCTACTGGGTGGGAAGGTAGAGGGTGCAGATGCAAGGTTCACCTGGGAAGGGAGCCTGCCTTCCAGGGCCCTACAATTTAACTGAGAAAATGAGACGTGAGCCTTCTACCATGGGAGTTTGGAAAAAGAAGTCACTGCTCGCTGGAAAGGAAACCAAGGAAATGTTTCTGGAGAAAGGAGCTTTTAGCTGGGTGAGATTTCTTTTGAGCAAACATAGGAGTAATGCCTAGGATGTAGAAAGAGTTGAAGTCTCGTAATGAAATGTATTCTAGTGGAGGTTGGGTAATTTGAGAGCATCATTGACAGTCCAACTGAATTATTGAGTCATTCTCAAAGCTCAGCGCAGTGACATTCCTCTGGGCCCTCTACCATTTTGACAAACTTCACTTAAATCCATAAAAAATTACCTGATCTTTTCTTTTGAAAATTCCTGATAACTGCCATTTCATTTTAAGATGGCAAGCCAGAGCACACATCTAACCATACATCGTTCTTCATCCTAAGAGTGTTGAGTTTAGTCAAAGTCAGTTACTTTGAAAACTAACTCAAGAATGAGGAGCTGAATATGAGATATGTAGTGAATAAGTAGAAAGGGAGTTTGGGCTTCCTTCTCAGCTCTCGCTTCGGAACACCTAGTGATTTTTAACAGGCAATATGGTTGCATTCACTCTGAATTGTAAGTACGGTTAAGTTGTCCTTCAATTTTTTTCGGGCAGTTTTCCTTAGAATGAGTTGCCAAAGATCTCAAAACTTGATGGCTAAAAGAAGTCAGTTATTAAAATGTCACTTCTGATGTTTCATGAGTGTGGGTTTAATTCTAGGTCGTTTTATGGTTATAGACGTAAGTACAAAAATGTCTTGTGCTGCATTTTTCAGCTGTTGAATTGTCATTGTTCACACAGAGAGCTAGTTTAGGGTGTCAGTGATGTGTTTTTCATCACTAATGGGTTGAAGCCACTTGGATCCAGGTCTCCTGGAATAATGCCTTATATGGTACGGGGGACCATGACATTTGCGAATTCTGTCGACATTCATCAGGTGCCTTTTGGCCCACGGTCAGGGGGTGGGGCACACAGAGGAGCGGCAGCTAATGCAGGGGGTAGGATTCTGAAACCCTTGTGGAAGGTGGAAAATGAATATAATCAAAACCGCCCTTGAAAA